GCGGCCGCGATTTCTGATATTATTTTTCTGCGAAAACTTCGTTGACCTTTGGAGACATCATTAATATAAATAATTTTTATGGCCGTTAAATAAGAAATGTTTCTTTCACAAGAAATGTATAAAATTACAGTACTAAACAGACGATAGGTCGCCTAACTCGCCGTAGCGTGACGCTAGACGGCGAAAAATATATATTTAATTATAATAAAGTTACAATAAATTAAGTTAATATATAATTATATATACAGTACCTAATTTATATATAATTAATATATAATTATATGTACAGTACCTAATTTATATATAATTTATATAATACTGTCCAGACGATAGAAATCTCTCCGTAGCGTGGCGCTACGGACGGCGGGTAAGTAGTTCGGCTGCCCGATGACGTTTTACATATTATAGGAGTTATTTTTACCGTTGTTTACGGATAATGCCACAATTTTTATAGGAATCATAACTATAGGAAACGGTTTTATAGGGGGATCTACTGTATATGCATAATATAAAATATATTAATTTATTAATACAACATATTTATACTACTATTCATTTATTTATTTATGAAATAATTATATTTTCAGAAAAATAAAAATGGAAGTAAATAATAATAATACACAAGTTATGATCTACAATGTTATAGGAATTATTCCTGGATCAGATGAGCCTGGTAATTAGTGCTAATCTTTTTATAAAAAATATAAGATATAATTTCTGTAAATATAATTAATTAGTATTAAAGATTAACATAAACAATTCTGTATTATATACAGTAGAGCGTTGTTTATCCGAAGGTCGGTTATCCGAAGGAATTCCAGTCGACAAATTTAAATTTTCGCCAATGCTGTGGCGCTGTAATCTTCGGCTATGTCTTAGGCTACTCAAATATTTTACGTTTTTGATACTAAATTAACTTCTGAAGTATAATTTTTTTATTGTTATTATATTTTTCAATATATTTATTTTGTTCATACAGAATAAAAAATAATTTTTAACAATACAATAGACTTCGTTAGGCTTAACATCGACGAAAATTCAACACAAAGCGACACGCAACGGAGAAAAATTTCAACACGGGATAAATTAATATATTTTTTCATACATAATTGGTTATCCGAAAAATAAGTTATCCAAACAACCCCAGTCCCCAAATGATTCGGATAAACGACGCTCTACTGTATAGAAATCTTACTATATGAATATGAGAAGTGATTGATAAATAAGATCTTTAATTTTATAAAATGAGTTTGAGAAGAGATAGAAAAATATGATTAGTTTTGAAAAGTAGTAAAAATCATTTATTGTAATTATACATACAGTAGAGCATTGATTATCTGAACTCAGTTGGGAACTGGGGTTGGTCAGATAACTGAAAAAATGGATAACCGAAAAGTATGAAAAAATACATTATTAGTATAGTATATTATTATATTTCATGTATTTAGTATATCGCTATTAACCTACTTTGCGTTGAATTTTCCTCGATGTTAAGCCTAACAAAATTTTTTAAAATAATAATTGTTGCTATTGCATTGTTAAAAATTATTTCTTTATTTTGCACAAAATAAATACAGTATTGTACTGTACATCGAAAAATATAAAACAAAAAATATATATATACAGTATTCAGGTTACATATTTTATATAAAATAGGCTTATACATTAGAAAAAGAAGTCCAAAATTTTCTTCTTCACAGCTGACACTCATTTTTTTTGCCGCTAAATCTCACACACGTTATAAAAACAGCAATTGGATAGCATCACATTCTTCCTGCTGTTCTAATCACTTCATAGCTGTCTCAAGGCCATGAAAAGCTTCCTCACTGGATGGTCCTTTTTCAGCATGGTTGTCGTCACTAGGTTCTTCCTCATCGTTGCAAGGGTCTTGGTTGTCGATGACAATGGCAATGATTTCATCGTCCGACAATATTTGATAGCCAGGGTCATCGACATCACATTCGAGCCAGTCTTGAATGTTTTCGTTGTCGCATTCTTCAAATCCATAACATTGTTTAATCAGCCCACACAGATGTGATACAAATTGGTTGTTTGGTGGTTCTTCAGGTGCTGTGATAGCTCCTACCATCAGATGAGTCTTATTCCAAGCTGTTATTAGTGTAGTGTCCTTGACAGTAGCCCAAGCATCTGCTGCCATGTACATAGCCTCCTTCAAGTTAATTTCAGCGTACACTTGCTGAATTGTTTTTTCACATTCTTCTCCAAGCATTACCATACGCAGCAATGACTTTCTATAATATCATTTGAAGCTTTCAATGACCCCTTGGTCCATTGGTTGGAGGACTGAAGTAACATTGGGAGGCAGGTAAACAACTTTAAACTTTCCATTTTCTCTTTCCAGTGAAATGTTTGAGGGATGACTTGGGACATTATCAATCAACAACAAAACATTTCCAGTATTCCCAGTTCTAAGTTGATGCTTTTTGACTTCAGGGATAAATACAGTGTCATACCATTCTATAAAAATGCTTGTATCCATCCATGAATTCTTTTGATTTTTGTAGATGACAGGCAATTTTTTTATTCCCTTAAAGCACCGTGGATTTTTAGACTTTCCTATGATTAGCAAAGGTAGCCTGTGTGTTCCAGTAATATTTCTGCATACCATAACAGTAATGCGTGATTTGCTTGCCTTAAAACCAGGTGCTGACATTTCATTCTTAGAAACTAGAGTTTTTGTTGGCATTTTCTTCCAGTTCAAATCAGTTTCATCCGCATTGTAGACATTGGTTTTTTTGTAACCATCCTTATCAATCATGCTTTTAAAGACTTTTTCAAACGTTCAGCTGATTCAGTATCAGCCGACAATTTTTCACCTTGGATGTCAAATTCCCTAATTCCATGCCTAGATTTGAAATGCATAAGCCAGCCGGTACTTGCTTGAAAATCAGTGTTACCCCCTAGTTTCTTGTTCATTTCAAGAGCTTTTTCACAAATCAAAGGACCACTTATTGGTTGTCCTTGGCTATGTACCTGCATGAACCAAGTGTAAACTGCAGTGTCCAAATCCTTGTTTTCTGCCATTTTCATTGTTCTTCTGTGCAAGCTTCCATTCTCACTGTCAAGTACACTCGCAAATTTTTTAATGGCATCATTGTTCTTTTTAATATCTGCTATTGTGGTTTTTCCAACTCCATATTCCCGAGCTAAGCTTGATCTACTAGCACCACTTTTCAACTGATCTATTATTTTAAGTATATTGGAAGCACTGAGAACAATGCATTAACATTTAGTTGCCATTGCAAATGGTACAACAACTACAGCACGATCTGTTACAAGTGTGAAATTCACAGATCCAAAATTTATAGCACCGATGAAAACAGATTCTGATTCAACATGACACAGTCCTGAGAAAAATCCACACAAAACAAACAACCATTCATAATTAAAAAATTAACCCTTGTTTAAATACTGGCCTCCTTTCAACAGTCGAGCCAGTATTGCCAGCTAAAACACGCAAAAATTTAACAAAAATAATATTAAAGTATTCAAGACATAGCCAAATATTGTAGCGCCACATCACTAGCAGACATTTGAATTTGCCGACTAGAACACGGTCAGTTAACCAATGTGATGGTTGATTGGGGGTCAGATAATCGATGCTCTACTGTATTTATTTTATGATATGATTATTTTTTGAGTAACACATTTTTCCAAACATTTAATTCAATTTTGCATTCTTCACCTGAAAAACCTTATTTTTCTTGATTCATTTCAATGTGGCAAGTTAAACTTTGGCATTTGATGAAAAGTGTTGCCTTTTTAATTTTGGGAACAACCAGATGTCTGGTGTTGCTGTATCTGGACTGTAAGGAAGGTGTGAAATAATCTATAACTTTAAGTTCTTTAAGTGTCTTCACTGTTTCTTTCTGCAGTGTAGCCTTGCATTATCATCATACAAGAAAAATATAGTTCTCTCTGGCCTTACATTTTTTATATTTATATACCCATTGCTATATTACTGCAAATTTTCAATTTTAAAAATTCAATTAGTAATTGTATCTTGTGAAGTATGGAATGTTTAATTTTGATTGTTACACAATGAATTGAGACTGCACAAATATAAACTAGAAATGTTTTATTACTATATGGGAGTGATTATGTTTTTAAAACATTTTACAGAAAACTGCAATAGAAGACCTTATTTGTTAATCAACCTTATACAAATAAATAATTTTATGTACCAGTTGATCATAATTAGAGTACCCCTATTTAATGCTATCAAAAGTCTAAATGCAATAAAATGTGGTATGATAACATTTCAGGACATTAAAAGACATTTTCATAAAATTAATTTTTATCTTCATAGAATAAAAATTAATACAAAAACTTACCACTATAGTACTTTTAGAACTGCATGTAACAGAAATTTTATTTGTACAGACTTGCATGCTGTACAGAGACCTTAGCAATGCAGAGGATACTGCTCTATATGGTTGCCATTATGAGCATATATAACTTGAAGGTGATAAACAGTATATTTAGCAGCTGACCATAATCGATCCTCTGGGATACTTCTCACTTGCAGTGTTATACAATTTTTTAAGGTTGCCAAATTTGTAACATGTTCTTGATAAACCACACTTTTTAAGTGTACTCCTCACAACCAAAAATTACACAGATTAAGATTTGGAGAATGAGATGGCCAGATAGTAGGAAATGCAAGACTAATTACTCTGTTATTGGTAAAATGTTGTTACAGAAGCTGCTGTATGTAGCAACTGATGATGATAGATATTTTATTTTGCATGAAAGTGGTTGACTCAAAGCATTCTCACTTGCAGTTAGCCTTGATTATCTTTGGATTGTCACAAATCATGTCACAGGACATGGAACTAGTTTATTCAAAGAAAAATGGTCCTATGATAAATGTGGCTGTGAAATATCCATCAGATTGTACCTTTAAGTAAGTGAAGTGGAATCTGCTGGAAAACATAAGTATTTTAACATTTACAGTTCATAAGGTGTTCATAGGATCTTCCATATCACAAAACATTCACTTCTGTTCTGGCAAGAAGGTCAGTTAGGTTTCCTCTTGGTAGCAAGTAACTGCTGGTTGTGGCTAAACTTGTATGCGTACAGTGCACTAACTTTCTCAATATCTTCTACATTGGGCCATAGGATACATCCAACTACTATGACATTGCATATGCATTACTGGAGCTTGCAACATTATTCATCAACTGTTCAGCAACAACTGTGGTAACCTCTTTAATGACTTGTGAAGAGATAGGTTTGTGCCCTCAGCTGGGTTGAACTCCCAGACATCCAGTTTTTTGAATTTAGTGATCATTCTTTTTAAAGGTTGTAGAGTTTATGATCCTCAGCAATAAGTTCTTATGAATGCAAAATTTTCAAAATGCAGTCTAATTATTGTTATTGTTTTCACAAAACAGCTTCATGTGAAATGCACATTCTCATAAAGTGATAGCCATAAGAGCCTGTCACAATTGTTGAACTCCATTCTTATCAGCTACATAATTCATAATGAAATTCAACAGTTATTGTTACTTCTATATCCAGAATTTGGCTGAAACATGTGTTTTTATGAAAAGGAAACTACTCTTTGTTGCTTTCAGTGTCAACTGTGCCATAGCAGTGAGTTTTGATACTAATCTATTTAATAGAAATATCTTTTGCATGTACTGAAATGTCATGTTGTATTTGAACTGTTAAATATCTCTGTAGGCAATGTGGAATAGGGATACAGTAGAGCATTGATTATCTGAATCAATTGGGGACTGGGGTTGTTCAGAAAATCGATTTTTCGGATAACCGGTTATGTACGAAAAAATACATTATTAATATAGTATATTAGGATATCCCAATAATAGTATATTAATATATCCCATGTTTAAATTTTTCTCCATTGCATATTGCTTTACGTTGAATTTTCATCGATGTTAAGCCTAATGAAAATTTTTGTAATAATAATTGTAGCTATTGTATTGTTAAAAATTATTTCTTTATTTTGTACAAACAAAATATATTGAAAAATATAAAAACAAAAAAAATTATACTTTAATCGATGCTCTACTGTACTTTAATTATGATCATGTTGTATTTTAATTTCCATAAACTTATTATTCTGTGTGTGTTAATATTAGATAATTTGCTGATTACATTAAATCTTTTCCTATAGTTAATACTTTTTATAGAAACCAAAGAAAGTTGTGGACACATCTCCTAGAATATGTGGAAGAGAATTTTGTAGTTACTTAATTATCATCACATAGTGATGGTTGTTGGGAAAATGTGGTATTCCTCATTTGTCACTCAAACAGCTAGGAATATACCAATTGAATGATTGTAAATATATTACTATTATACAAATGAATTAAAAAACCTATAATAAATGTATTGGTTTATTTATATGAATATAAAGGAAAAAATAGTAAAGTTTTTCTGCATAAAATTTATTAGTTCTAACACTTACCAGATGTAATAAAATTGGAATTAAAACTAATCATATTGAATATTACTGTATTAATGTATCATTAATATGGTAATGCTCAATAAGATTGCTGTTTTGATTGAAAACTGAAATTACAAAATAATGTTTGAGCATTTAATGTAATGACAAAATAGAAGATTTCAATAGCTTTTTCAAAAAAGATGTATTATTTTCCCATTCATTTGCTGCCTATTAACGACAACCATTGAGAATATTCTGCTAATGCTTCATTAAATTTTATTCTCTTACACTAATTCTCAAAATAGAATTTTATCTAAAATTCTCTTCTGCACATCCTGAGAAACATTTTTAAAGATTATATAGAGTTTATGCCTTTATTCAGATTAGCAATACATAACCATAATGATTTGATTTTGTTATATTTATAAATTTTTTAGTTAAAAAAAATTTAATTATTTTTTTGTATATTTAGATCGTTTTGTGTTATTGGGAAATCATAGAGATTCCTGGACTTATGGTTCTTTAGATCCTTCTAGTGGGACTTCTGCAATGCTTGAAATTAGTCATATTTTTGGAAAATTACTCAAGGAAGGTTGTTAATTATTTTGTTTATATCTAAGAATATGCTATTTTAATGTATCAACTTTTTTATTACGCTAATCAAATATTTTTATTTTTTTGTAGAAAATAAGTTTGTCTTATCAAAATGTGAATAGGTTTTATTTTCTCTTCAATTTTTTAATTAAAAAATAAATAAATATCATTTTATTTGTATTTCAAAAACATGAAAAACATGCAATATCTTTATATAAAAACACTGTACATTTGTTATAAGAAAATAACACTTTTTTATGTATGTTCTTATATAACAAATAAAATGATTAAAATATTTAAACATATGTATTAAATTTAATATAAATATACAGTAGAAATTACAAAAAGAAAAATTAGTCAAATGATAGAGCCTGACGAACATACATGTATTTGGTCAGGATATGAAGATTGGATGAAGATTTGGGTAACATAATGTTGATGAATCTGCATGGTAAGTAGGAGTTGTGGGTTAGGTCCTACTCAGGATTGGTCTTTTCTCCCAGAATAGTTTTAATTTATTTATTTCCAATTATTAAATTTAATGCAAGATGGCAGTATAATCACCTGCCTTTAGTCAAATTATATAATGTCTGAATAATTAATTGGTCAAGTTCTAGCATACTAGTTAATTTGGATCTCTCATTTGGATGGTATAATCTGGGCTATTTTCCAAATTCTTTCATTATTGGAAATTGGGATTCACAATACTGATTCTTGAATTTCCAGAAAATTTCTGGGAAGTCAAGTTGGTTGGTCCTTCAATGGTCTTCATTATAAGTTGATTTGACATTTCTAATTTTTGCTTTAATGGGAAATGAAATTTGGTTTGGTGCAATTCTGTTTGACACATGTTTTACTGTATACATTCAACTTGCCTTAAAACAAAAACCAATAAAGTTAATTCTCATGTTAAAGCAAGTTTTGCCATAGCCCTGGCAAAATGCTATTGTCACAATGTTAATTTTTACATGACAGTGCAAACGAAATTTTACTAGAATTTGTTAAACTGTACTGTAAATTACCTTTGCAAACCCAAGAAATAACACTAATTCCAATAATGGTTGCTTTTCACTTTTTGATGTGAACAATAAAAAATAGTTCTGTAATAAATATTCCATTTTGAATAGCATAATTTCTTTTCGTAGTAAGCAAAGACAGATTTGATCTCCAATTGTATGCAAAAAGTTTATTAACATTATTTCTTTTTAATAAAATACTGTAAACAATTCACATACCATTTATTGCTGACAAATAAAAAGGATAAACTAGCATCACAAACCTCAAAAAACCCTTTGATATATCCAGTTTTTTATTTTTTAAACATAAACAAACATTTTCAGGTTCCTTCTGAGCTCTGCTTCAAGTTTTTTGCTTTTCTTTTACATAGAATGTTAATTGACACTATTGTTCGAATTCCAATTTAAATTAAAACTCTAACAGTAGCATCAATTCATGTTTCATTTAAAAGAAAAGCAGAAAATCTGAAGCAGAGCCTGAAAATATTTGTTTACATATTTGTTAATTTTCATTTTATATAACTTTATTTAGTAAATTAATTGAAAATATAATTTAGAGATTTCAATTACCTATTAAGCCTTAAGTTTCTAAATTGTACATCCTTAACCTCAATTCTGTAAATCATTAATACGAATTTTCAATAAAGCAAACTAACATCTGTTTCCCTGACAATTCGTATTAATGTGAGTTGACTGTATAATGTATTTAAGACTAACTATATTGTTTGTATTGTAATATGATCTCATTAAAATAATGAGTTTCCCTAACTCAAAAGTTTGTTAACTCAAAAATTTTTCTGTTCCTTACACTTTGAATTATCAAGAGTTTACTGTATTAATTTTTGAAGGACTTTAAAATAAGTAGATGTAAGTAAAAGATTCAATAAATATGAGAAATTTTTGTTGTTTTGTATATTATATATAATTTTACAGTTAATAGCAATAGCAAATACTAATTAATTAAAAAACTACTATCTTAGGTAATTTTAATTTCAGTCAGTTTTAAAGTGAAAATTTAAATTTAAATTATTTTGATAGGTTGGAAGCCAAGAAGAAGTATTTTATTCTGTAGTTGGAGTGCATCATTGTATGGATTAATTGGTTCAAGAGAATGGATAGAAGTAACAAAAAATTTCCATATTAGAATTTTATCATTATTGTTATTTTCACAAAAATAATTTAAAATTTTTATTTAAAAAAGGAAAATCAGAAAAATCTTATAGAAAAAATAGTGGCTTACATAGATGTTAGCATGGCAGTTGAAGGAAATACAACATTAGCTATTCAAAGCACACCATTAATGTATAGAGTGTTTTCTGAGGCAGCAAAGAAGGTATTTTTTTGTCATTTTTGTGAAATTTAAATTTAATATTAAATGCTAAAAAAACAATATAAATAAGCAATTTAATTATTAACCTTAATGGTAACTCATTTCAAATATTTTTACTTAGTATTTATTTATAAAATGCTTGCAATAAAGCCAATTTTTAGTTTCCAATATTTTTATATATCAAATGAATTTTTATTATTATAGAATATATTTAATGTTAAAGTTGTAAGACTCATTAACTTACTCCTAAAAAAAATGTAAGTTATAATGTTTTTATGCTTATTTATTATAATATTTAATTACCTGGAGGCAGTTGAAATCTATTGAGCAATTAAACAGAGAGTCACTGTTAATTTCAAGGAAACAGACACTGTCCACAGCATGGCGTGCCATTTTTGAACTGGATTCCACCAACACAAACTTGCATTAATGATATTTTAAATTACATGGGATATTTATGTCATAATAATTAATATGTAATTAATTGATTATTTATTCATTTATCATTTAAATAATATACATACATATTTTGAAATTATATCCTGAACATAACAGATATATTTTAAACACAATGTATTCTAATTACGTAATCAGTTGTCACATCTAAAAAAACATTTGATTTTTGTTAGCCATTTTGTTCTATATCGTTTTTACCTTATGATGTCTATTTTATATAGATGAAAACATTAGTACATTTTTTCTTTTCATAATGCTGGTGTTGGTTTTGTGTGTTGTGCGTTCATTATAATAATTTAATAAAACTAAATATTAATCAAATAACAATAATAATAATGCAAGAACTTCTAGGTTAGAATTGAATTAAATTGATTAATGTTTTGTAAGTTCAATCTACAAGTGAGCATTGTCATCTTATCTAATAAATTTAATGATTAGTAAATTAGAAATAATGTACTTAAATTTTTGATGTGTTTGGAAAAAAGTACCAATTATAGTGAAATTCAAACTGTTAACTATCAACTAATGTATGAAAGTTGTAATCTAATATTTGATAAATAATTGTTCAAGTTATGAAATTGTTATATTAATGCTAAGAGAACAGTATGCTTTATATTTATGTGTAAAAAATATTTTTATTTAGATTCCAAATCCAAATGCGTTAGAAGTTTCTAATGGATTATTATCTGTGTTCAATTCTTGGCTAAATCACTCAAGTCAGAATTTAATTAATCCATCCTTACCAGAGTAAGAATATTATAATTATGTTTATGAAATAAAAGCATTTTATATTTGATTTTTTATAGTATATAATACAGAGAATTTAATTATGATAATTAACAACATTGACTAAATATTAAGTAGTAATATCCTTAATTAATGCAAAAATTGTATTAGCTAGAGTTTATGTATTAAACACATTAATTATCTAATGCTATTTTTTTGGAAACTTCAAATTTTTAATTGTATTAATTTTTGATTTTTGCTTTTCAAAAGTACTAGAATTATAGTATAGTATTATATTGTGCATTTTTTCCTTCATAGATTTTACATAAACTGTTTTGAAACTAGAAGAAAAATTTACATTTTCTGTAGTTCTTAAATATAAGTGATCAGAAAAGAAATAACGTGTAATAAATTAAATTAAATGACTAAATTACTTAACTTCCAAAACTTTCAAATTATATATCATAAAATATTTTAAAAAATGTTTCAATTATAGGTAAGGATAACATATTTATATCTAAATTTTAAAATATACTTATTTCAACTCTAATTACTCTTTTTTCAACAAAATCTTGTTATTAATATCATGTAGTGAGGATTGAGAAGCTTGGTGTATAGATACATATATAAACAATTTTTTTTTGTAATTCTTGAATAAGATTATGAGTTTTTATTATATAATTTCACCTGTTTGGTTACAAATGCATTAATATTACAAGTTGTTATTTAGTAATTTAAGCTATTTCAAAAAACTAACAGTTGGCATGTACTTAATGAAAACAAAACCACATTGAAAGGAAGACCTGAAAATAACATACAAAAGAAGCATAAGTGCTTCAATAAAAATTACCCATGAATTTTGTCTAGAAGACCAACAGCTGGTTCTGTGAAGAATTCACTGTCTTGAGTTCGAGATTACAAAAATCATGTGATCTGATGAAAACAATCTCTATTAACAGCTAAAGCTATGTATGCATTCTATCGTAAATATGCATATATATTTAATGGATTTTGGAATTATTCAAACAATAGATTTTTGCAAAAAATGTCCAAAATAAATAAATGTGAAACAGATTTCTTCCATAAAAATAAAAGAAATTCCCTCTTCATTAGCAATGTGTAAAATATCCAAATGACCTTGAAGTGTGTAATTAGTAAAACTGAAAATAAAACTGCCATTTGGGCATAGAAACTTTCCTTATAAACACATAATTTGTTGGAAGATTTTGAAAATTAAATGATATTTTTGTGGGTGACCTGATCAGATTATGACTTCAAATTTCATTGTATGTGTATTTCGAATTATCCAAACTAAAATCTATGCAAAAACCCTATTCTCTTAGCCAGATACTAGACTTAACTTCAAATTATGCAATACTTTGAGTTATCAGATATCGAAATAACAAGATTTTACTATAATACAGTAATACCCCAAACTTACGCGATAGGTGGGACCGAGCGATAACCACGTAAGTTGAATTCGCGTAAGTTGGGGTATAATTTTGCAATTTGTGTAAAATCCAAGTCGGATGTATGTAAGCTAATAAATGTTCTCGTTAACCTTATCTCATCTTTTGATTCATTCATGGTTACAAGAAATCACCACATAGTCTCTCAAGTCTCCGTAGATATAACAAACATAGAAATAAATAACACAAAATAAATTGTAGCTATGTGTCGATTCCATGTGACACATCCAAAACTTGTAAGCTGAACAATAGTGTGGGGGAAGTGAGTAATCAAGAGTTGTGTGGTGCTCAAACAAAAGATGAATCAACAAGATTTGAAAATCGCGTAACTTCGGGTTCATGTAAGTCGGGGTAGCGTGAGTCGGGGTATTACTGTAATTTTTTTTGTTATCTTTATTAAAGTTTGATACAATATAAAAAAGATTTTTTATGCTGTAGTTTTGTTAAATTGATCATAAAATTTGATATTTATAATTTTATTAACAAATGCCTTAATTAAATTTTACAGATTTCGGAATTTAGATGACAGTAGTGATCATGCAACTTTTTTGTTTGGTTTTGGAATACCTTCTGCAAATTTAAAATACAGTTGTTATAAAGTAAGCAGTTTTATTTATTTAGTTTGAAATGTAAAACAATAATAAAATATTTTAGTACATTTTTAATTCAATTTGTTTTTGGGATTTTGAAAGAACTTCAGAAACATTCTCAATTAAAGTGAAAAGCAGTTTAATACTAGTCATATTCAAGCTGGAGCAGCCATATCATGATTTAGAATGAGTTAATTCTTAATTAATAGATTTAGAGAAAAGTTTTATCAAGCAGATATGGAAAGAATAGGAAAGAACTTCATCTTACAGGATGATGATGCATATTCTTCCTGAATATGAGATAAAGATACAAAGAATAATGATTTTTCCAGATATTTTCAAGAAACAGAATGAAAATTATAACACACTGACTAATTTGAAATATTACTGCAATCAAAATGTTGGAATTTAAATTAACAACTTCAAATAAATTGGATAATTTTAAAATGCTTTGTTGAAATGGGAATTTTTTTAAACACTTTTTGTCCTGTGGGCACTAAAAGGACTTTCTTTTAGCCCATTATGGGTTCAGCCATACTACTAATGGAGCAACCAGATGATAAGACCATGGGTGTGACAGACCACCTCTCAGATATTTCAACCTGTCCGGATTCAATCTCTGGTTCCTGGATGGTAAGCTTATGCCTGAAATACTTTAATCATCCAGTCAGCAACACGGATATTATTACCAAGAAAGTTCTTCAATATACAAACAACTCATAACCTGATTTTAATTGATGAAAGCCAAATGATCTTTGCCAAAATTATTGGATTATGTTAATGATTAATTAGTAATTAATTATTAATGTAGCCAATAATTTATTGAATAATCTCATCTTAAAATAGGATTAAACTGCTTTTTTCAAGTCATTAAAACATTATTTATATAGAAATGCCTTTAGTCACGTATGTACAGCTAAAAGTGATTGTTTACATAATTCATTAGTTAATTTTGGTTTTATAATTATTTTAATATGATTTTATAATTTTTGCTCTGTTGTATTTTTAATTTTATTTATTCTATTTCTTATTCTATTTTAATTTTAATGAATTAATTTTAAATTCATAACTGCATTCTACATCATTCTTTTGTATCTATGGTTAGCCAAAAGTGGCTGAAAGCATTTTTATGTATAGTGCCAAGCTTTGTGCATTTTTATGATAATATATTCAAAATATTTATAACTATATATAAGTATGAATCTTATATATACATATGAGGGCCAGTGAAAGTTTACAGATGTAGAAAATGTATTAGGCATAAAGCAACATCTATTGCATATGTAGTAAGGCAATTCTTAGTATTATTTTTACCAAGAGATGTCACTAGTCATCCAGTGTGTTGCCACATGCAATTGCAAGAAATGAATATGGTGTCATTTTGACTTGAAGAAGCAATGCAGATGACTTGTGAGAATTTTTGGAGCAATGATGTTTATGATTTTAAATCTGGTTTGTCCAAGTCAATATGTCTTGTGTGCTTTCAGGCAGCCTTTCCAGACACTTGTCCATCATGGACACAAGTTTTGCTTGGTGGTTTGGTGAATTTTGACATGGAAAAACAAAGCCTGAAAAATGAAGCCAGAAGCAGCTACATCTCAACTACAGTTACCCAGGACAGTGAAGCTCATATGGTGATTATGGTTAGAGAATGCCTCCAGATAACTTACAAGGAAATTTATAACAAATACATACTGGAAGTAGAATAAGTTGAAAAATAAACTACACTGATATAAATCCAGCAAAATTTAATAAAGTAATAACGTTTTCAACTGTTTTTCAACGATCATTCTCAGTTACCAAAAATAGAATATTAAATATAGAACATAAGATGCATTCGAAATAAATACAAAAAATAAAAATTAACAGAAAACGCCCTAGCAGATGAACTAAAGAAAAATGAACAAACAAACCAAATAAATAGCGAAAAAGGGCTGCTAGGGCGTTTTCCGTTAATTTTTATTTTTTGTATTTATTTCGAACGCATTTTATGTTCTATATTTAATATTCTATTTTTGTAACTGAGGATGATTGTTGAAAAACGACTGAAAACGTTTTTATTTTATTAAATTTTGCTGGATTTATATAAGTGTAGTTTATTTTTCAACTTATTCTATTTCCAGTACATATTTGTTATATGAAAAGTAACTTAAAACTTGTATTAATTTTTATAAGAATTATTTAATAATTGATGATTTAAATATATCTTTGTTTTTTGCTGTAAGAAAAAAATTATATAAAATGTTGATAAATCATAATTGAGTTATATCAGTTTTTCTGATATAGTTAAATATGTGACAGAATATGGATAAAAATAATTATTAGTATTTAAGCCTTTATCATTTGTAATCAAAATGTATTTTTATGCATTATAATCAATTGCATTATATTCTAATATTTCTTTCAAAAATTATTAGAACAATCTTTTAATAACAACGATGCTTTTATAGTTGTATTATTACTGGTATTTAATTCTTGTTTGTTTCAAATTATTTNATATCTTCTTGTAGCATTGTTCTATTTAATATTTTCTTTAATTAAAAATAAACCTCGCTGTTATAAATCCAGCAAAATTTAATAAAATAATAAGATTTTCAATCGTTTTCAATGATCTTTATCAGTTACAAAAAATAGAATATTAAATATAGAACATAAAATGCATTTGAAATAAATAAAAAAATAAAAATTAATGGAAAATGCCCTAGTGGATGAAGTAAAGAAAAATTAACAAACAAACAAAATAAATAGCGAAAAATTAATAATTGTAAAAGGACCTCCATGCAGTAGACAATGAGTCCACATCTCTATGGTTTATACAACCGATTCTCATGTGCGCCTTATAGATTTCCAATCTCTCCAGATGTTTGATCGTTTGCCTATGATCGTTGAAAAACGATTGAAAACATTATTATTTTATTAAATTTTGCTGGGTTTATATCGGTGTAGTTTATTTTTCAACTTACAAGGAAATTAATAACATTTTGCAGGTTGGATTCATAGCCATGTATCTTTTGCTTAAGGAAAGTTTCACATTGCTGAATGCCACATTCTCTCACTGAAGAGAAAAAGAAGTTCATGTGGAATGGTGTTATGACATGATTTAAAAATTTGCAGGTGGGATATCAAATGTTTGTGGGATGTCATTATTGGTGATGAAACAAACATTTGTCTATCAATATGAGCCAGAAACTAAACGGCAATCCTAAGTTTGAATTTTTCCTGACTAAGAAATTTCTCTGAAGTTGAAGTGCCCAAGAAGTGTTGTCAGCAAATAAATAGTAGCTGTGTTCTTTGGTAAAATTGGACATATTTGCACCATTACTCTGGTTGAAAGAAAAATCTTTACTGTTGAATGGTTGCATTAATATTTGTCTTTGAGGAGATTTGAGGTGGTTAAAGATGGACTGTAAGCTCATCTTCATCAAAAGAATGCATCCACTTACATGGCAACAAAGACCATATTATTTCTAAATTAATCAAAAGTACGATTGGTAAATCATTTACCCTACAGCCCTGACCTGACATCTTGCAATTTCTTTCTCTACCCAAAAGTGAATGGCTTTTCTTTCTCTTTCTATGGACATCCTTTTGGATTGCCAGAAAAAGCTATAAATGCCTACGGAGATCAATTGGGGACCATTCCTGATAAACAGTGGTCTGTGTGTTTCAAAAAGTGATTCATCTGGATGAACAATTGCATTCAGTATCAGTGTGCTTTGAGAAATTGTAAACAATGTTGGTAAGTTTCACACCAAGTTTTCATGTATCTAGAAACTTTAAGAGTGATCTTTGATTATATACACAAAATATAATAATAATAAATTTGTATATATAAGATTCATTTATCTGTATATTTGATTTAAATTTTGAAAAATTATATATTACGTAAATCCTCACTTAATCACCCATTACTCAATTAAATGTCCATGGCCAAGTGAAATGTTTTTCATACTACTGTAAAGACTAATTTCCAGTGTACAATTTCATCCAGCAAAATGGATATTTATAGACCATTGCCTAGCAAAGACCCATTTATGGACATAAAAATCATGCTTATAGATAGACTTCATTGAGCAAAAGACAATAAGAAATGTTTTCTGTTCAAAAGTTATAATGGCTTGAGACAAAAGCCATACTGAGTTAGTGGGGGAAAAACAATCCAATTTTCATATCATCAATCACAATAAAATTGAATAATAATAATATATGGACAAAAATTTCAGAAGAATTAGGAATTGTTGATAATTCTAATTTCATATGTTAGTGGATAGAATACATTATTGTGGAAAATATCTAACGTTATCAAGTATCCATTTTTCTTCTGTAATAGATGTGATTGAAACAGATTCAACTTCCACATAATCACCTATAGGTGATTAAGTAAATGTTCTAATTGTTCATGGGAAATTAGGTGAGGATTTACAGTATGTTATTTTTTATTGTAATATTTATTTATGTTGTTCTTTTTAGACAGTTACTGTATGTTCTCCACTTATCCATACATTATATGAGACTTCTGCTGTTCAAAGTAAATTAATAGATAGTGAATTTCAAGTAAGATAGTTTTTTAATATCAGTGTTTTATTTAGATACATTTCTATTTATTGATTAAACTTTTAAATTTTTCTGTTAAGTTTTTAATTTGTGATAAGTTACAAATAATTTTATTAATATGTTAATAATAGAAAACTTAATCCTTTGCCTCCATAAACTATCTAGGATTCAATATCCAAATTTTGGCTTAGCATTTCTTTCTGGAACTCAATACTACAAATACATCTAAAATTGCACTCCAACAATTTTTTGTATGTGTGACTTTCAACTATTCTATGTAGCATCATACTATTTGAGTTTTATTTTTTCTTCTACAAAAATACTTTCATTATCATTAGTGTCACACTCAATAAATTATATTTTCTGTTTTTTACTCTATTATATTATTCTCATCATTATTTCTCTGAATATCATAATTATTTTCAATTTCTAACAATTTAAATAATGTATATTATTAGAATTGTCTCTGTATAGTTCAAAGTCAAATTTGTCTTCACTTTCAGCATTTTCAAAATCTTTACAAGTTTCTCTTTTTTTCTATTTTCTATGGATGAAAATAAACACAATATTCACTTGTTGCTGTATTTGGCATTGACAGACTTGTGATATTTAATGTCTCTGTTCCCTTAGCCATTCCAGTGTATACTTGCAGTTTATAAACTACAGTAACTGTGGAGCTGTAACATATCCTAGGCATGTTGCTACAATATTGACAATAGATTTGTGGTATTTATATAATTGATGTTGCTGTAGTAGTACTAAAGGAGTGCAAAGGATTAAATTTTTTTAATCTTAAAAATCAGCATTAAAAATTTAAAAGCACTGTCATATTATATTAATAATAAATTACTTGAATTTTTAAATAAATGTTTTCTTATTACTTTTGTTTGAGTTTGATATATTAAAAAATTAAATTCTACTAAATTGTTTTTATTATGGTTACTATATACATTTTTTTCCATTGATAAAATGTAATAAAACTATATGGTTTTATATTTTATCAATGGAAAAAACAGAATTTGAAATGTAAAATTTGCTTTCACGCCCTATTACTCTTTGAANTAATGTAGAAAAACTTATTATTAAAAAATAAAAAATAATTATTATTTGTAGGCCGTAGGTAAACAAGTTGAATTTACTTGAAATATATAGAAAATACTGAAATCATTCATTTTCCTCATTTTCGTTTAAAAAATGAAGTGTATATGTGCTTTTATGATTGATTAAGGTCGTTTGTTAATATTACAGTCAGATTTTATAAATTAATTATAGCATCCAATAATAAGTTTTTTAACATAATTGTATTTAGATTAGTTTGAAGTTAACAAACTTTTCCAGTACTTATTGTAAAATTACACATTCTCATTTACTAGAAAATGACATAAATTATGCATATAATTTGATTTATTAAATCTAATTTAGTAACATAATTTACTTTTTTTCTGTCTAATCTATTTGTTTAATCTTATCTCTTAATATATAAATAAATAATATTTTAATATTT